GTGGAAAGGAATAAATGTTCTAATATTGCTCATAAAATAAATATTGAGACAAAATATGTTTTAAAAACTGGCACTATTGCAAACTGAAAATGTTTAATGCTGCTAACCAAAGATATTCCCACTATTGTTTCTTTCTGTCTTTTTCCTCTTACTTGTTAGAGATGAACATGTTTCATGCAGAAATATAATGAGAAGAAACCGTAAAAAAAGACAATTCAGTAACTACCCACAACAAGATTTTTCCATTAATGTGGTTGGAATTACTGAAGTGTCCTTTACATACACTAAAATTCACAGTTCAGATGTCCTTAATGATTATTGGCTTCTGTCCAAATATTTTGATTAAATTATTTCGGAACATCAGACTGTATATGACATGAGCACAGATCCAAGTCAAGTGATATTATCGTGAAAAAGCCATGAGTAACTTGATGATCTAAAGAAGAAAACTTGACATATTTTATATTGTTATTACCTTATTTTTCAACTTATATTAAAGATTGACTTGACCCCAAAGCTGAAGCAGATTCCATATGTTTCTATGGAATATAATTCCAATATTTGGCTTACAATTGCAGTAACTTTTTCATAATTTATAATTCTTTTCCACATTCAGTGTTATGGTTATAAAGAACATATAATTTTCAAATACATATTCTTAATATGATCAGATTTTAAGCCCATTAAAAGATTTTATATATATATACACATACACATACACATATATATTCTATTTCAGTCAAAAGAGAGAACTCTATATACAATTCCCAATTTGTAGGAATGTTTGTTTAAATAATAATAAATCAAATTAACTGAAAAGCTCATTTAATGCATATTTTACATACTTTTCATTTTTAAATTAATTTATCCATTTTATACAAAATACTTGCATATGAAAATATTTTACACACTTCTGAAGATGTGTATAGGTATGAATAAATTTTCATATTAAATCTTGAATAAGGAATTCTTTGTATACAAATCTTGAGGACAACTTCAAGTTTCTGCATTTCAAAAGGACTGAACCATAGTTGTTAATAGGTTATCATGAAACATTAGATGTATTTTCAATATTAAGTTATTTTATTGGTAGATAAAATTAAAAAAATGTTCCCAGCTAAGATATATCTGCTCTTAATAGATTAAAATATGTATCAGTTTTTAAGTAATAGTTTGATTTTCATGTCAGTGCACTGAAACCTAAAATGTTAGTACAGTTTCAGGAAAAAAATCTTAAATATCATAAAATGTAGTTTGATTATCTCCCATTATTTTTATATGCCCATGGTAGACATGAGACCAAGCTGTCTGGGAGAAGCAATGATAAAATTCTGTATTTAACATAGGAATTTTAATTCTAGAATGATAAAATAATTCATTTTAAAACTCCAGTACATACTATCTTCTAACACTGATACTCTAATATTTCTGTACAAAATGTTGGTAAGTACATATACATATCCTACTTTATCCATAAAGCATTACTGAAAAAAGTTATTTCCTACTGAGTATCATAACTGAATAAGATTTAAACAGAAATTTCCTTTACCAGACCTAATATTCTATATCATTTTGGCTCTCTTATATTGTCCTTTGGGACTTCAATCCTAAATATGCTTACTAGTGCTAACATATACGTTTTAAATTGTGTGGTCAACATGAACTGAAATAATGTTCAATATAAAAATCATGTAAAGCTTTTATGTACATGAAGATTCCATCCTAACTACTTAATACACTCTTTACTTTTCTATTAAAATTAATGCAAAACCTCATGCTTGATTTATGCTTATAGTTTTTAACCCAACTATAATTTGAACTCCCAAATGTACCAGCAGGCCATGTTTGGAAAGCCTTGTTTGCTGTAATGTTGTCATAGATGCCTAGCACTTGAGTATCCATGCCAGTCTTTCTGAAGAAGACCAGTATCCTTTCTTTACATGTGGAAGTAGGCCATAAATGTGGCGTGTCAGTCAAATATTATTGTATTAGCTTAAAGTACACATGAAATAATACTTAATTTCTTATTTTTTCAATATAATAGATGCCAGGTCAAAACAGCTTTTTTTAGAATAAGCTACTTCAAGAACACTGATTTAAATTGTTGCCATAATAATTCATAAAGAGATTAGGAGGACAGATTGAAGTCCACAATAATTACTGTGGTAGTTCTCTTATATTCTGATTATTGAAGATAAAAGGAGACATGCTTGTGAGACAGAAAGGTGCACTCAAATAATTATATATATTACATCACATAAATATGTGAGAATATTTGGAATTCCAAAGTGATACACTCCGGATCACGTGGATTTGCCTTTAACTTTTGGGTTTTGATTTCCTTGAAAAAAAACCTTGCTTTTGTAAAGTTTGAATTAAAAACTTGCAGTAGCATGCAATAAAAGGTTTGCAAAAACATTTGTGCCCTAAATTCTGATAGATGGTAGTATCTGGATTAACACCGTGTTAGAATGACTGAAAACTATTTTTTTTTATATGTTAATTTTTAACTAGATTACAACTATGAGCAAGCATCAAATTTGTAGATAGAGCTAGTTCTTAAATTTAAAGAGATGAATATATAAGAAATATTGTTATTTTGTATATTCTATACTTTGATGAAATTTAATTTTAACATGAAGTTCCATAGAATAATATTTAAAATAATTTCATGTTCATTTTAGAGAGTCGCGAATATGAATTAACAAAACAAAACAAAACAAAAATCACAAATACAAACTAAGTTTTTATCTTCTGCTGTTGTGTTTTTAAAGAATGTTGACTCTCCATTTGAAAGCCGGTATGACAAAAATCAGGTGATCTTACCTAAAATTAAATATGTAAAAAATATTTCTTAAGAGGCTACAAGATTAGATGATCTATTTGGAACTGCAGCTTTTTCCAATAGTAAAATGCAGATTAAGATTATACTTTCTACTTTATGAATTAAGTTAGCTTGGGTATATTACTACGATAGGAAAATTTTAAAAATTAAAAATGAGTTTTATCTGTAATATTCACTACTGAACATTTGGCAATATATAAACAAAATTCATGTAAGTAACACAATGATTAACATTAATAGTAAGTTTTCTCTAAACTGCATGGCAAAATGTTTTGGAGATGGCCTTTGAGATTATTTTTCAGTTGCACAAAAGAAAGTTCAAACTCCAGGTACAATAAAATTACAAATAAACCCTTTATTTTCTTCTCCTTCTATATTTTCATGTAAATCATTTGTAGTTTTGCTTCCAATAAACACAACCAAATTCCAAATATGTTTTAAATTTTTTGCTAAGGTGTAACTTTTAGCCGATCTGAATTCTAATATCAAAATATAATTCAGGTGGAAAGTTGAGCCACTTGCTGCTTTGAACTATATTTGTTGTTGCTTGGTGTTTTTTTTTTTTAGTGATGTAAAAAAAAATTAAAGTGCAAGAGCTAGAAAAAGGAAAAGAAAACAACTTGAATATCAAGATTAAAGTGTTTTATCAGTTAGACAAATATTTTATATTCTAAGAGGAACAGGATTTTTCTTGAATATTCTTCCTTAATGTAAAAATGAAATTAATTGATTGATCCCTTAATGTGCAAGAAACTGACATGTTTTCAAAAACTGAAGTGGATTTTTTCACACTTCTATGTGTAAATTACAAAATGATTTACATCTATCATCTTGCTGTGTGATTTGCTTCTGACATTTTATCTGTAAGTTAACAAAAAGCAGTTATGCTTCAGTAATGTCCAGAGCATCAAATGGAATCTGTGTAATTATGGTACACTAGTACTGCATACAGCTTTCAAAGTATATAGGTGCTTTTATATATTACAGTGCTTTTAAAGTGAAATCTTACAGTCTCATCAAATGTTGATGTTTAAAGTTTGTGTTCAGCTATTAATATGATCAGGTGTGAATTAGAATTCTGTTCATTAGATATGCTTGTTATTCAACACAAGAGAGTAATGCGAGTCAGAGGAAGTAGCTGCCTACAACAGTAATTAAACATGTGTAACCAATTAGTGGGTTTTCCACTATGGTACAAGCATATAATTTGCAGAGTCTTTCTATGAGAATAGAAGAAAAAAGGTACTAAAAGTGTGCCTTGACTACAACATTCTCATGTTAAACATGTCAATGTAAATGAACTTTAAATATATAATTTCTGGTTTGTTAACAAACCACTGAACTCTATTGGCTAACAAAAGTAACATGTAATTTTAGCACTTCTTGCCAAAAAGAAAAGATATTAATTTGATTTATATAACTGGAATGTACAATCACATTTTAC